ATGTGATGTGTTGAGTGAAATAAGAAGCACTTTGTACCCTGCTGGTTGAAGGTTGTGGTTCAGACAAGAATCAACCTTTGAAGGAAAAAAAATCCAACAAAACAAGTGCCTCAAGACAGAGCAGTTAGTTCAGTGCTTCTTGGCCTTTATCTTAGCCCACCTCACTTAAAGATGTGTGTCTGTCCTAGGCTTGAGCAATGGTGTCCAGAGGGGTGGTAGGGGGGGTGCCTCCCTGCAGATGAGAGGCAGCTGGGGGGGACGTACAGGTAGAGAGAGGAAGGAAACAGGGAGAGAGAGACTCTGAGGTGGGTCAGAGAAGAGACAGGAGGATGAAGACTAGTTTAAGAGAATTTTGTTCAGTTTAACTGCACTTTGGTGAAACAATACTGTTGGCTTATAATTGTGTTTCAATTAGTAATTCTCCGTAATTTTTTCTCTGGAGGATTAGAAGATTTCAGAGTCAGTAGGTTACCATGGAATTGGTTCAGTGTGGATATTAATGTATGCACCTTGTGGGGGACACATCATTTTGTGAAGTTCAAGAGGCCCCTTGTCTTCTGTTTGCTTCCATGTTTCCCCCACCACATCATATTCTTGTTTCCCATCCCTCTCCCCAGTCTTTTCTCACTCCGTAAACTACCTAACAGATGGGTATAATTAATATACTTGTTAGCTATCAAAGGCAGTGACAAAGGTGAATTATGAACTTAGGGTCAACCAGGGTCAGACAGTGTATGAGAAGAACATCATGGTTCTTTGTTCAAGCAAAGCAGTAAGATTGGAATGCGTGGTGGTGCTTATTAGGCTGTACTCTTTTGTTACGTTATCACACAAATTGCAGTCCAAGAGCTCCCTGCCTTGAATGAATGTCTGATAACAAAATGAGCTGGATACATGTGCTCGCTCTGGAGTGAGCAGTGGTTGGTGGACTCTTCGTTGTGGTCTTCAACATGTTAGAGCAAGGCATCTCAAAGGCCTTCCTGCTAGAGGGCTGCTGTAGCTCCCCGCATGGCAAGCTAGTTGCCAGAGTGTTGGTATGACCATAGCATTGGGAATTTGGTGTGGGTGGAAGCCATGTCATTTTGGTGTCATGTCACATGTTTTCCGTGGCAGGGGTGGAGAAAGAGAGGGTAGGGAGAGAAAAGGGTGTTCCAGCACAAGGGAAGGGACAGAGTTGTTACAGGTAAATTTTCCTGGATAGTTGGATCAGATCTATCGCTGGTGACAGGTGCAAGAACAAATCTTTCCTAAGCACCCAGTAATACACTGTGTCTGGCCTTGCTCTTTAGGCAATTATTGGAGAACTGGTGGGTGTGCACGTGGACAGGTGTATACCCCACAAGGCTGGTATGCAATCTGGATGGGGGAGCAAGATGTTTAGAGAGTTTGCTGAGTAGGGCTGTTACAATGTGCCAAAAAGGAGGATGAAATGTGATGTCTTAAGGCCTCCATCACTGCAAAGAGGAGGCAAGACCATAAGGGGGGTGGGTTATGATCAGGGAAGACAACTATAACCATGTGTCTTGAGGTCTGTTTGCCATTAACCCAGGTCTCTGTGTCTCAAGGTCTTAGCATGCTAGAAGTCCCTGTGGACTACGATGAAGATTTCTGAGTCCAGAGAGGCAATCATGATTGTATCAGCACAAGCTTGGTTGCCATACCTCTGGTGGGGTTGCGCAGCTGTCTTCCTGGGACACAGCAGACCTTCTGCCCCTTCCCTTCATGCCTCCCAAAGGTATCCTAGAGTTCAGATTGAGGCAGTTGTGCTTTGCTGCCCTCAATTGCTTAAATGCTACTTTTTAATAGTAACGGCTGGGCTGGGTGGCTCGCTAGAAGTGACTTTTCCAGGGCAAGCCTTCCTCTGCTGCCCCCTGGTGCCCTGGCTTCTAAGAGTAGCTCTCTGCCTAACACACTCACACAGGGCATCTGGCAAGGTAATGTTGCTTGAAAAAAAAACCCTTGTTTAGTGCTGGTCAAGCTTCTACTAGGTTGCATGCAGAGGTCCTCCTTGAGAGGACACCGTGCCCTTGAAGCAGCCTCCATCCCTATCTAGTTGGTCATGCTCCTCTATAGGCCTCTTCTGGGAATTTCCTGGAGAAATATGAACAGAGTTGAAGGCCACTACACTGGAACTTCCCAGGATAGGAGTGGATCCTTCCTACCTCCTAGCTAAAGAGGGTCCTGTGTAAGCCTTTCTAGAAATGGGGTCTTGGCTTTTCCTCCAGGAGAGGCAAGTCCTGGAGGAACTATTGACCATTGGGCAGTAGGCAGTTGATGGTGTCAGGATCTTTGAGTGCTCAGTTAGGAGTGGGTTTGGGACACTGGTTTCCCTAACAAAAGGCACCAACAGTGGCAGCCACTTCTGCAGAGAATGCCTTAGGACTTGATGTCTCTCAGTGTATCATCTCTTGATCTTGAGGCAGGAGCCCACTGTTCTGAGTTCCAAGCTGTTCCCCCCAATTCTTGAGATTGGGAGATGGAGCTTGCATGGCTGGGCAGCTTCCCAGCAGAGGTGGGGTCAGGGTGTGGGGACTCTGTGGTTCCATGTACCTGTGAATAAGTAGTCTGCCATACTGCAGGACCCAAAATGACACCAGACCACATTCCTTGGTACAAACAGTTACATGCATGCAAAAAAAAAAAAAAAAAAAAACTGCCTTTCAAAGCTTCAAAGTTGGGACATTTGTAGGCAAAGCCCTTACAGATCCAAGCCTATTTCCTTCAGCCACACAGTGTTGACAACTGGGTGGATCCTTCATAGACAACTGTGTTTCCCCACCTCCACTCAGGTAGGTGAAAACTTGGAGCCTGCAAGGACTGGGATCCAGAATGGTGCCTCCTGATAGGGAAGGTGCAGAGCCATATGTCTCAGAGGTAGAAGCTAAGAATCCAAAGCAAATGGCCACGAGGCTGGGGAGAGCCAAATCAGAGCCAAAGGAGTAGAAAGACTAGAATGGATGGATAAGAAGAAGGGTGGGCTTTTATTTTTGGATTGAGGTGCAAAATACAAATGTCTACAGAATATGCTCCTTTGGAGGGAACCAGGCACATGGAATATAGGGCCAAGTAATATTTCAACCCCCTCAGGCCCATCCCTTCTGCTCTTTTTGCCCTTTGACTTAGAATTTAACAAAAACATTTGATTGTGTTCTAAATGCAAAAGCCCTGTACAAAGTACTTGGAATGGGGGAAAGAAAAGCATAAGGTGGCTTCTGCCTCTGGGAACATACAGTGGAGTTCAGGGCCTCTTTCCCCCTTAGCCTCCTCTTTCTTACTCTTTCAACTAGCATTTCCTGAGTACTGACTATATGTTCAGACATTTTTATTTCTCTTGCCTTTTTCCACCCATAATTCCTCTCTCTTGGATCCCTTCCCTTTCTGCTTCCATTTCTCTCTCTCTCAAAAAAAATAGGCAATAAAGAGAAATCTGGGGACCTAGAAAGAAGAGAAAAGACTTTAAGGGAAAATGTACGCTTAGTTCTTAGTATACCTGAGTTGATTCTATGACACTCAAGGGCTCTGTGTCCACATCACTTGCAGCTTGGGTTGGGGAGTCAGTGCTTCATTTCTTCCTGTAATGAACTTCTGCTGAGCGTTAGCCCCTTTCCATTTACACAGGCTGTAATTTTTTTTTTTTTACAACTGCTATCTATTGCTAAATAAATTCAAGCTGGTTGTGGGTCTTACATCTACTCTATAAATGAGAGATGGGATGATGCTCATCTGACAGTGACCAGATCTAAAGAGAGAAAGAGCCAGAGCTCCCCACCCTCCAGCTGGCTGCATCCACCCCAGCCCACGGCCCTCACCCCTCCCCTTCCTGGACAGCATTTGTGTCACAATCAAGCCAAAGGCATGAAGTCTTCTATGATGACAAACATTTTGGAGGCTAGTAAAGGGAAAAAAAAATCTCTAGGATCCTAGGTACTCTTTTTACCTCTTTTCTTGTTTTTTTAATTTGCTTGCTTGCTTGCTTCTCACCTAAGATGAGACCGTAGAGAGCTGTGAAGGATGGGAGGGGGAGAGGGGGAAAGTGGACAAGGGGCTGGGTTATGGAGTCCTACAGTAAAGGGTTGTGTCCAGCTTTATCTGGCTCCCAAACATCTTCCGTCCTACCTACTATGAAGCTTGGAATGCCACCATTCCTTTAGAATGGAATTTAAAGGAATCTAAGAGTCTTTCATTTAAAAACAGAGTCCTAAAATGCCAATGTCCTTGGGAGGGGTAACACTTGGGTGACAGTTTGAGGGGACAGGGGCTTTGTGGGCAGAGTCACCCTGAAGGGGGAGAGGAAGAGCACCAAAGCCAAACCTTACAGACTTAACTAGTTGTACGTACTCCTGTCTCCTGGTCAGTGCTGTATCTGAGTACAGGGGAGGAGATAAGAGGCAGACTCGTATCAGAGCCCCCTACCTGCAGGACATACACACCAGAAGCACTGACAGTTGTTCAAACATGAAAACATCTGGCTGAAGGCCAAGATCCCTTCAGATTCCCACCCTACATTTTCCTAATTTCCCTCTGGAAACGACTCAAGTGGTTCCACAATTCCCACATGTTTTCAGACTTCAAACTGCGTTCAAGTTTGCCTGGGACAGGTGTGTGTGTGTGTGTGTGTGTGTGTGTGTGTGTGTGAATGTGTGACTCTATATTCCCAGGATGCGCCCAGGACCCCCACAGGGAAAAGTTTCCGAGAGCCTCACGACGATGCATCTCCTTCACAGGGAATCCGTGCCATTACTCTCTGCCCATGCGAGCGTACGCACAGATCTTTTCTTCTCCTCATGGTCAGTTTTCTATTTGTGATTAGTAATTGGCTTCTCTTGGAATGTTACGATCTATTACAAAAGCCAAACATTCAGAGGGCCAGCTGAAATGACAAAATTTGGTTATAATTTATGTTGGCCCCTGACATATATATATTTTTTTAATGATTTGGTCTCTAAGCAACTGATCTCTTAGCAACAAGAAGCACCTTTATAAAAGATGGCACACAAAGAGTGATTGCCAGAAAAGCCACCCGGTGCTTAAACGGCCGCGCATCATTAGCAAAACTCACCATCTTCAAGAGTCCAAAAACTAGAAGTGACCAGCAGACCCAGGTAACCTTGATATTTGCACATTTTCCTGAAAAAGAAAAAAAAAAAAAAGCAACTCATGCAACTATTGAAGAGAACAAGATTCTTTGAAATATGTGCATTTTTTTGAGATCTTATTAGTTGGTTTTGGCTAACTTTTAATAGAATGTTCTATTAAATAACTGCTTCTTGATTTTGTTAATACAACTTGGACATAAATTTTGTGATCAGAAAACAGTTCACTCAAAATATTTCATTGACATGAGGATGGAAGGGGGGAGCAATCTATCCTTTTCAGAGTTTATTTCTGTAGGTTTTCATGTGAAGGGGAAAAAATCCACACAGTGGCAAAATAGGAGCATGCAGAATGTCACCCTGAGTGGTGTGCACTGCTGGGGGGTTACATATATCCCCCCTCGGGTATTTTTAAACTGCTAAAATATTTAAAGAATAGCAAAATTATTTTACCTCCAAATTTCAGCCTTTTAATCCAGTTGTCAATTCCAGTAGCAAGTGATGGTCTTTTGTTGCAAATATTCAAGGACTGGTTTTTCTTTCTCTCATAGCACAAAAGCAAGCATTTTTCTATTTGTTTTCATTGCTGTTGGGAAAAGTTTCATTCTAAAACTATAAAGAGGAGAAATTCCAGCGGTCTATACCTTGTTTGCTTTTTCAGGTACCCAGGAATTAAAGACTTAAATAAGTGTCTTCCTAGAAAATTGGAGCTGGAGATGATTAAGACTGTGTAATTACAAACCCACTTGGGGTACTCATGGGGCATAAAAAGGGGATGTTTTGTGGGAGTGAAATAAAAAATAAAAATAAAAATCTCCCTGATTGAGCTTAGCAACATTACACAGAGACATCACAGATCTAAGCAAAAAGACTTTAGAAAATTGCAGTTTTGATAAACCCAAGTTAGAATGGTGATACTTTGTTTTTTATGAGAATTGCATGTGCCACTTATCCTTAAATTGAGAGGCTAGCTGAAATAAATCTTTAGAACCAGAGGGGACAGGGTCTACTGTCATCTTCTGAGAATCGGAAAATGGATACTTTGTCTCAAATACAGAGCTTGGCAATGGGTCAGGGCATCCAGAATTGGGACAATCCCAGAAAAATCTGGGACTTATTAATGTTCTGCTGAGAAAAGGCTCCTTATCAGCATGATATGATTACACTTGATTTAAAGGCTGCTTATGACTTGTATTTCTGTTACTGCTAACAACCTGAGGCAGAAAGGATTTCTTCTTGTGATTGTTTTTGCTCAGAAGTTAGCAACTTGGGTATTTTAAGTTGAAATGCGGAAACTCTTTTTAAAGCAATGTAATATGAAAGTACAGAGAAACGTATAGCTTTGTCACTTAGAGCTAATGATTTTATGTACTTACATTGTAGTGTGAGCATTATTGTAGAAACATGTCTATAGCTTTAAGTTAAGGAACTTGGGTAAATAACAGTAAGATATGGCTTTTGTTGGCTGTGTCTGGATACATTTCCAATTTTAGGTATATCATGGTCTCCTAAATATGAAGGGGAAAAAAATAAGCAAAGATATGGTTACATATTGCAAGTGGCAGCTAAGTTGTTGCAGTGGTTCTTGAAGATTTTTCAAACTCTGTCCTTTGAGGTTCGTGTCATCTATGTTTTGTCTACGCATAAGGAAACAAAGAGGGCCAGCGGCACTGTAGAACTTGTCATTTTGGCTGTCTTAATGAGCCATCTGACTAATAAAGATGGACAAACAATGGTAAGATTTGAAATCTGCAATGAAATACTCTGACTAGACTGGGCATTATAAACTAAGCCAATGCATTCTGCTGTGTCGGGATTAGTTACTTCTGAGATACACACACGTACACATAAGTGGTCTCAATACAAATCATAAACCAGAAAATCAAAACAAGCCTCTCCATTAGCGAAGGCTTCCTAGGAAAAAGGGCAGTTTCAGTTTCATGAATGAGAATTTCCATCATGATCTTTATTTTGTGTCTAAAAATCCTAGACAAAACTTGATGGCTCTTTTCCTTCACACTTTGGCTGGGATTGGGTCGGTGGGGGTGAGGGCGTGTTGAGGGGAAGGGTTTAACAGCCAGCAGACCCACTCCCCAACATTCCTGCAGCATGGGAGATCAGTGCTGCAAACGAATCTGTTTACTTTGGACACCGTAATACCTGAATTGAAATGATTAGGCAGGAACTTGATCAATTACTACTTTTAACAGAAAAATTTTAACCCTCCTAAAGGAATCATACTTGGGATAATCTGGTCTTTCTCTAGTGAGAGGGAAGCAAGGGGAAAAAAAAAAAAAAAAAAGAATACCTCTGGAGCAGCCACTGTGGGCTAGACACTTTGCAACGTGCAGTTCTGTTTAATCCTCACAACAGCCGGGCAAAGGCATCAGCATCTCCATTTTACACATGTGTAAACCAGGTTCAGCAGTTTGCCAATATGTTACCTAAACACGCTGGGTTTGAAACCCAGGGTCGGTCTGACACCCCTCCCTGTCCCCCCTCCCCAGCCTATGTGCTTTCTTGTGCCACAATGGCACCAACAATTATTTTAAGCAGACATTTAAATAGTCTCTGCAGTCTTAGTGAAGCAAAAGCTCTGAGTAGTTGGGCTGGCAGTGGAGATTCAGGTAACTTTTCACGGAAGAGACTCCTTACCCCCTGGTTCTGTTGGCTGCGGGGTGACTCCGATCCTGCATTTTCAATGTCTGCCACAGGCTATGAACTGGACGTGGGTACTCTCGGCTGGGCTGTGGCAGTGGTGGCCCCTGGGCGTGTCGCCATTCCTTGCCATGATGCACATCCCAAATGAAGTGGGGTGTAGAACTCTTTGAGGGACACTTTCTGTGAAGGGCTGGCGGGGGGGCATCTCCACACCACAACAGTTAGGGACTGCACAGGTAGAGAGGAAGCCAAACCAAGATCCTGAATGGGTCAAGCAACCTGCCACCAAGTTAAAGTGGTGGGGAAGAGGACCCAGGTGTGGCCAGAGCAGGCAGAGGGTGAAACGACGCTACAGAAAGCAGAGCTTTGCCCCGAGGACCTTGCTTCAGAGTTGCAGGACTGCAGCGCCCTGTCCCCTCTGGTTCTAAAGCCTCTGGCTTATGTCGTTGCCCCCTCTTCAGGTTTCCCTAGCAAAGGGATCAGTCTTAGATAATTTTTAAAACTTCCCTCAGTCAGTTTTTGGGTAGGAGAAGATTTGTAAAAGAGTTCAGCCATGACTAGCCCTGAAACAAAGCACCCTACACATCCCCATTTCTGTTGATCTTACATCAATCGGCTCAGAGACCTAAACTATCTTGCCCAAAGCCAGACATCTTGTGTAGATGGGACTCGAACTCAGGTCTTTTGATTAGAAACCCTTTGGCTCCTTCCTAAAACTAGAAAATATGATGGTATATATAGGCAATGTAGAGTCTAAGATGTTATATGGATCCAGAAAGGTTTGGAGCTGATGCTGACATGACCTGCCTTGAACTTTGCATGATCATCAAGTGAACACTGGGGGCAGCTCTTCACCGGCTACACTGGAGTCCATCCCTGGAGAAGGGACTAACACACCAATAGGTATAAGAGGCAACCTCCCGCTTCTTTTTCCAATCCCTCTCTGCTGGGGTATGCTTAAGGGTAATCCCTCCAACCATAAGTCAGAGGGCTGGTGCACAGCTTAGGAAGTCTGAAAAGAATGCATAGGGGATAGGTTCGATTTTTGTACAAAAAATAATGATATTCTTTGTGCAAAAGCATCCCAAGTAATTCACATGCTTCTGCTTCCCTGAGTTCTTATCCCCAATAAGACATGCATATACCGTCTTTGAGTTCCTGCCTTATGGTTGGCGCATATAGACGCCACATACCTGCTATGGCCAGCACAGGCCGAATCCCCCTCTCTGTAGCGTGCACAGAAAGCCTCCTCTCATCTGGCATCCTTGGGTAGAAGAAGGGGGCCACTTAAATCATTTCCTTTCTTTAAAAAAATCATCATTTTTAATTTGGGAGCTGACTTAAAAATTGCTTAATTTGCACTTACCATTTTGAAGGTGAGGGGACTGAGTTGAATGATATGCCCAAGGTCTATGCAGCTAGTCATAATGAAGGATAGAGCTCTGTTCTTCTGACTCCCAGTCCAGTGCTCTTTCCTCTGTATCATTATAGATGCTAATCCTAAGGGGGTGAGAATACAAACTATTACCCCTAGTTTACAGATAGAAAAAATGAGGGCGTATTTCAGTTTAAGGACAATTGCCACTCAAAGTAGGAAAATTATTGGATCCATGAAATTCATTTAACACATCTTCAGGATTAATAATTCTCATTCCCCCTGCTAGATACAAATATGCAGAGTTCAGTGTTACAGTGAACACAGTGGAGTGTTTAAAGGTTGTTCATCCTGTTGATGATATAATTTCTCCCTCATGTGAAAAGTAAAGAAGGGGAGGGGAAAATAGTCTGCACTGTTAATGAAGCCTGGCATCCAAACAGATTATGCATTTATGGAATCCCTTAAAAAGATAAACCAGCATGTATCTGCATATTAGGATTGTCACAGCCAAGCCCCACACCAAAATAACAGTAGTTCTGTTGGACAAAGATTTTATTTTCTTAGAGATTATTACAACTCCCATGCTTGTGTTTGATACTGCCTCAAAAAAAGATCTAGCAGAAATACACTTGACATGCAAAAGCAATTGTGAGAACTCCACAATTCTGACAACATTTCTAAAAACTTAGTGGGAATGTGTGAACTCCCATGGATGGAGCTCTCTGTGCCAAGTTCTGTGCTAGGACCTATACATAGGTTTTCTTATTTAGTGTTCATGACTTCTGATGTCAGTATTCTAAGCACAATTTTCCAGATAAGGCACCTGAAACTCTTTTGTATTTAAAGAACTTGCTGAAGGGGGCAGCGCCATAAAGTGATGTTTATTTATCCAACATATGTTTACTGTACTTAAATGATGTGCCTGGTACTGGACTAGATGCTGGTGATATAAAGTTAAATAAGACATGGT